ATGACGTTGCCGGTTACGTCTGGAGGGTGCTCCCCGAATGTGACAATATTCATGGATCTCCCAATAGATATACCTATGAGGGAACATATTTAAGGGATAAGGATATTTCTACTAATTGACTCATTCTCTACCAACGACGATTACTTTTGTATTAAACATCTTTTCTCACGAAATGTAGCCACCACTTCTTCAAATCCTCTCGGTGCTAAGAATTACTCCCCCACGAAGTCTTAAACATTTATAGACTATAGGTTAAACGATAGCTAATTGGTAGCACATATCAAGTCACGGAGTGTATTTACCCCTAGAGGTTACTTTTGATCACCACATCCTAACTCACGAAGGGAATCAACCTCCAACCTATATTAGAAAGCTCTTTGGTAATAGTGAGGTTCCTACTAACACTGCATCTCACATTAGGAATAGTGTTCGACCCGAAACTCCCCTTTTCATACTATAAGAATAGTAAGGGTGGTCTAGACACTTCATCTCAACTCATGAAGAGTGTCTACCATACAATACCCCATTTACTTTCATAATTTCATTCTTTCATTCATAGTGTGTGTGAGTACATGTGAGTACATCTTTCATATAACTCGTATCACACATGAACATGACTATCTAAAAATGATCCCAACATTCATTATAACCACACACTAACATGTTTTACACATACATATACATCACTTGATCGTAGTGTCTTCAACACACTCACATTGAAAAATCATTGTACTTCATATGCATTACAAATATACTTTTAATTCAAATCACATTCAATGCCTTCAAGGCCATGATCACAATACACATATAAATTCATATTCATAAGATAAAAACCGCCACCAAAGCTGGACTATACCACTCAAGATTTGATTCTATAAGATTTCAGCAATATAGAACAACTTACCTTAATCCATGCTTTCATCACCACATCTTAATTTATCCAATAAAGTTAAGGCAGTATTTAATCACAATGTAATCATATCAAAATAATAGTTCTAATATTATCTAAACATGTTCATCAAACCCACTTCATAGGTCAAAAGTTGAGAATTGGCATGAGTATTGTTTCATTTAATTATTAGCCTTAAAATCATCAAGTAACATCAATAATTCCATAATATGATCATTAAAATCTTTTCATGCAATAACTCATACTTAGAAATCTGAATAGAAAAAGTTTGTGTTTTGAATTCCTTTTTGAAAGTCTTTGTATTGTCTCCTTGAATAAAAAAATAATCAACGATGAATTTCCATATCTTTAATGATGAAACTCCCACAATTTTTTTTTATGAAGAAAACGTCCCAATACCTTTACTTCTAGACCTTCCTAGAGTTCTAGCTTTAATAATGTTTAAGAGGTTTCTTTCTTGACATGGATGTTTTGATATTTCAAAGAAAAGATTTATATAGGTTTTATGAGTATAAACTAAATTAAAATACCCTAACATCCCCTAAGCCAACGTCCATGGTCCATCAATGAATTGGGGTGAATTTATTATAACACCCCAAGTGAAGTCGTTTCTTTACATCTTTTGGAGGTGCCAATCGATAACCCCTAGCTACTTAGCGTCATTTAATTGACAACCCATCCTGCTGGGAAATCGATAGCATCAAAGTCTCTTTTTATGGGGAATAATCTCCAAAATCTGTGTGTGGGGATACTCCCCCAGACGGTGGGGCGTCCTTCAGCTTACTGTTCGTAGATGAGGGGCGTCGTTTTAGGCCGGTTTGGCAGTTTTGTTGCCAAGTCTTCGAACCTCTTCTAATGGACCCTTGTGGGTCCTAGGTAGAGTCGTACCCTGAAGTTAAACTCCTAAACATGTAAATATAAATCCTAGTGTACCCTCACATTGATTTCAAAAAAAACGAACACGTAAAACTTGCCAAAACACACTAATACAGACAAGCACGTCTCAAGGCACATCTTTCTAACCTAATGGACATTCTTGTATGTTTGAACTCCAAACATCACAAAACTTTAGAGGCTGCCTTAAAACATCATTATTAACAATTTCAATACATAATTAACTCATGACACACATGCAAACCTCTATTTTGATCTATTTTATTTTGAGGGTCGTAACTGAACATCTCATCAACATCAATTTAAATCTGTCTCGAGTTTAGTAAAAGCTCTCTCTTCCCTTCTATATAAAACTTTGGATGTCACTCCTCAACTTATCTATATTTCCACATGGAAAAAATATCATAAGGAACTTTTGTGCTACGTCATTAAAGAAGGTGATAGAGTTATTAAGATAAGAACTCGACCATATTCTTGATTCCCAAACATAGAAAGGGACAAGGTGAGCCTCACATAATCTTTGTATAATCAACTTGGAGTGTTAGTATCACTGATCTCGATAAAGTTTTGAATGTAATTGGTCGGATCCTTGTGCAACAGACCATAGATCTACCCATTAGTGTGCAATAGTTGCACCATACTTTGTTATAGTTCAAACTTTTCACTAGCTGGAGGTTTTTGAATACATGATGTAACATTGGTGGCACGTGGGATTGTGGCGTCTCTTACCTTCATCTCAACCATTATTATTTTAGGTTCATCTTGATTAACTCTTGCTACTGGAAATGTTGGTTCACTATCAACAAAAGGAATTGGGTAAGTGAGTCGTCTTTGCCTTCTCTTGTACAGAATGAATCGTTCCAATCCAGCTAGCGGTGATACAAATCCTTAATTTTCGTTCGGTTTTACAGTTAAGAATAACATGCAACAATGAAATGGTAAAATAAAGTTGTCAATACCTATTTTTTAAACATCAAAAATTTTATAAACCAAATAATTCCTAATTTGAAAGTTCCCGCAGCGGCGCCAAAAACACGAAACAGGGGGAGCGACATGGAGAAGCTTCACAGATTCAATTCCAGGCACATTTTCCTTCTCTGCGACACGGAAAATCCACATAGTGGTTTTCCTCAAAATCAAATTTTGGAGAATCACTACACATCCCTCTCTAAGACGGGGGGAGGATACAACTACGCCTATACCTACACCTTGGACATCTTTTCTTCCTTTTTCTTCCTAGCTTCTTTTAAAGATCTTTACTTTTCCAAATTATTCCTTCTCATGCTCTTTTATCCAATTGAGATAACCTCAACAACTAATTATATTGTTTAGATCATAAAAAGGTCTTAGGATGTCTCAAACCAAATCTAATTATTGTTCATGGGTGTTAGTAGTGACACATTTTATGTATAGGATTTTATTGCATGCTTAGAAACAACCTCACTTCTTCATTCTCTTAGTTGTGCCATAGATCATTAAGCTCTCTATCTTACCATTTTTTGATGGTCTTTAGGATGTGACAATTAGAAGGGTTATGCTTCTAAAAGTTAGGGAGAAAAGTTGGTTGTGATACAAATTTTGGCTATGTAACTTTCTAGATTTGAGATTATAGACCTTGAGGTTGTCTTTACTATGGATAATGTTTTATTGTTTCCTTTAGGTTATGAATGATTTTTAGAATAATTGAGTGGGCATAATTCCAAGAGGGATATAGTATTCCTGCCTAATAAGGTGACGGTAAGGTTATGTTTAGTTGTTAGTAGTACCTTACCTAATCATAATGAGTTTTTGAAGTATGTTGATAGATTGATGTAATAGGGTGTTTTAGTATTTCCTAGATGAGGTTGAGTGACTCTCCTAAGAAGGATAGAAGTGTAATTCATCATGGTTTAAGAGTTATCTTTGGTGAAACATGCTAAATCTTAGTGATGCTAAAAAATGAGTTAGTGTAGGCTTGCTCTAAATGGGGAATAAGGTTGTTAAGTATATTTCACATGCATGATCTGGGTTACTACATATTCAACCTAGATATGTGTAGTGAGTATGAGAAGTTTAGTCCAAAATTATATGCTCATGTAAGATTGTGAGTGGTGTTTGAAAGTTTACAAGGAGAGAATGTAAAAAAGTTTCCTCTAGTTGTGGGGATGTGGAGACACAAAAGAAGAATAGACTTTATGCTCTCCAATATAAAGAAGATCAAGAGTAATCTCCTCATGTCCATTTACGGGATGTCCTTCTTTTATGATTTTAGAAAAAGATTTCCAAATTTCTTGTTTATGACTTGGTATGATGGACTTGATGATGTCCTAGTTATGATGTTGTTTGTGAAGGTTTCTAAGCCTTGTTAGAATTGATGTAATTGCAATTTGTTTCCTATTGTTGTAGTGTCCTAAGTCAATGTCAATTTTAGAAATAATGAGTCTATGTTGATCTTGTTGTAGCTAGGAGATATTATTTCCTCCTTGAAAATGAGTAATACATATCTTTTATGCATTAAAACTTGAATTGAGTATGTCTAGCTTCGAATTTGAGTAATACATATCTTTTATGCATTAAAACTTGAATTGAGTATGTCTAGCTTCGAATTGGAGTATCCATGGTTGAGGTGTGTGGATTTAGAAATAATGCATGCACGATGGGCTGCTAGTCTTGCGTCTTGGTATTTCTCCATAAAGGTTTTAGGTGTCATTCGCGGACAGATGTTCTTGCGGACACTACACTTTTGGACATTAGGCAACACTTTTTAGGGGGGGGGGCAAAAGAAGTGTAACCTTTAACATTAGGCAAAAATTATTAAATGTTACCACTTTTGGCTACACTTATAAAGCGTAGTCAAAGAACTATAAGGCCACTCTTTATTGTGATGCATTAGAAAGACCTATATTTAATAATTTCTTACAAGTTTTGCCTTTGCGGTTTTATTGGTCACACTTCAAAAGTGTCGCCTTTTATAGGTCATCTAGCACAACACTTAAAAAGTGTTGCCTTTTATATCTCATATAGAAAAACTCTTATAAAGTGTAATTTTATATCTCATCTAGAGCAACACTTATAAACTGCAACTTTATATCTCATTTAGAGCAACATTTATAAAGTGTAATTTTATATCTAATCTAGAGCAACACTTATAAACTGTAACTTCATATCTAATCTATAGAAACACTATTGAATTAAATATATTAAATATATCATCACATAATTAAATTGAAGCTATATATTTCAAATAAACTTCAAGAAACATGTCAAAAAACTCCAATACATAGAAAGTAATTGCTTAAAGATCTCTAATATGAATAAATTTCAAAATACCAAATGCATACAAATGTGTATGGCAACAGTACAAAAACTCTTCATTGTCCACTACAATAGATCAAGTTTACTTATGCCATTATTCTAATTCAAAACTGGATTTTCCTGCACATTGAAAATAAAAAATTTTAGTGAAATAAATGTGAAAGTTCAGAATTGGAGAGTATTCACTATAGCAAACTAATCCAAATCAATATATATACGCAAATCATATTGTACATATATAATCACGTGCATTATGGGTTACTGCACGTATTGTAAACACAAAGAGATCAACAGACACACATCATCCCAAATTCCATTCAGAACATCTGTAAATTCCCCTTTCTCTTCCTACAATGGCACAAAAAATCTGAGAAAAAGCCTGCTGAGAAAAGGCTAGAAGCTGAAAAAACTCGCATAGCCGAGATATCTCATGCAAAACAGAATGCACACGACGAAAAAAATATAACAAAGAACAGAACTGCAGTTGTCGGAGACATAAAGAAGAAGGGATTGAAGAAGTTCAAATTGTTGTTTGTCTTGTTAATCCTGTTGATTTAGCTAAGCATGTACAAAAATCTTCATGTTGAATGAAATTTTTCAGTTTTGTACATAAAAAAATTCCTTCAAGAGGCTAGCTCTCCTAGTTACTGTTAAATTTGGAAGGAAGTGGGAGATGACATTCACAATTTGTTATTAAGCCAAGAGATGGAGGCTTACAGGAAGAACAAAAACAATGTGGAAAAGTCAAACATGATTTTAGAAACATGCAAATACAATACACAAACAAGTTTTAGCACAAACCAAAAAGCCTTTGCAAGTTTAACAAGTTAGGCATTTTCCCAACAATTTCAGAAACCTGTAAATGCAATATAGATTCTTTACATGTTTAACAAATTATGTATTTTCCCAACAATTGAATTGTTAGACATTGAAAACTTAACAAGTTTTGCAAGATTAAAAAATACACTCAAATCAACATGAGTAACTCTACCATAGTTGTCATGAACAACTCATGTAACCTTACCACACTCAAGTTCATCACGCACTAAATAGACTATGATACATAATGTGTGTTCATTCAAAGCAACCAAAAGTGCAAAAAGTACCACATCGGTACTACAGCAACCAATAATGTATCTTTTGTAGTCATTTCATGATGTTATTCTTATAATCTGAAGTAAAGTTCTAACAGAACTATAATACTGCAAAATGTAATTCTTTTTTTCAACGATTCAAAGTTGATAGAATGTAACTATTTTTTCTAATAAAGGTTATAATAAAAGTGCATCCAAAGATGAGAAGTACTATAGGGTTGATGTTATGACCCTATATGAAAAACCTACATTTCAAATACTGTTAAACCAAAAAACAGAAAGCTTTAGTAGAAATTAACTGGTAAGTGTCCTTCCTATATTTAAATTGACCACTGAATCTAAGCAAAAGAATGTCAAACGTAATACCATGAAGATTTATAGGTGATACAAAATTATAACAGGGACATAAGAATCTATCTATAGATTTCTTTTTCAAACAGAGCAAGTGAGTATCACCCACGATAGAAATCAAGCTAACTAAAGCCAGCGACATATAATTATAAAAGCTATAATGACCACAATCAAGGTATAGCTTTAGATATTTCACATTCTCTAAGCCCGACCGATGCTTGGATAAGAGTGGAACTGTTGTGCAAGAATGCAAGCCTTCATGACAAACTAAGGTTATATACTACAAGCAAACTTCCTACCTCCAAAAATTTAATCATAAGAACTACTAGCACATCAAGCTTGTGTTTGAAATGCCACAAAACGAAGTTTGTCGATTCAAGAACCCATTCACGACCCGAGCTTATAGGACAATTCAACATAGCATGGACATAGAAAAACTCCTAATTATTAGCTTACATGCTTTTTATGTACTGACAGCTGCTCAGACTCCTTCCAACAACAAATCAAAAGGTAAACCAAGCAAAAAAAAGAGAGAAGAAATTTAAAGAAGACAACAAGAACAAGCAGCAACAAGAAACATCAATAAGATGAAACTCAAACCACATCACAGAAGAGCTTAATTAACTACAACAAGTGACAACAAACTCACTAACGAAAACACAACAAAACTATTTCAAAAATAAAACCATCCCTCGCAACAACTATTACATTTCAAAGAAGTAAACAACAGGGGAAAAAGTATACAACTACAATCTAAAATTATGTAGTAAGTGATAAAAAAAGAACAAACTGAACTTTCTAAGACTCAATATAGTAAATTAACTTCAGACAATTAAAAAAGAATGTGAAATACAAAATACCTTTTGAAAAACCAAATCATGAGCTGATCCGGAATAATGTGGAAGATTTGTGCATCTTACAGCTTGTGCACTACTTACATCGATAGGTGAAGCTAGGTTAGATCCAACACACCCTGGTATGTCTTGAAAATTCAATCCAAGGTTGTTTTCAACAATTGAGTGAATAAATGTCGCATATCTTCTCTGAATTCTTCCCTTAGAGAAGTGATTTCATTGGCATATTTTTGTATTAAATTGTAAATTTCCTTATCTTTCATAAAAGAACTTGTTGTCACTAATCTACCACAGTATCTAAGTCGACCAGCATGCTCCTTTCCAAACACTGCCATAAATGCATCATCAGCTGTTTCCCCTGAATTTTGGCGATTTTGAAGTTCAGTCTGTTGAAAAAAATTGGCATCCATAGTGAATTATGAGTACTATTTCATTTCAAGTCATATGATAGAGACATCGACTAAGAATTAATACCTCCTCGCACTTGAACAAAATGAAGAAAATGAGAAAGAAAAAGAAGGCGTACTTGACAAAATTCAATGGAATCAAACTCCCCCACAATATATAAATTTAAGTTTGAATCAAATTTCGTTCTAATCCTCTTTAAAAAATTTACTATTGCAACTTGGGTATCGGCCTGGATTTCCTTTCTTGTCTTGGTACGAGTTGCTATAAACATTTCAGGCTTTGATGGTTCTTCATTGTTGTCTTTGGCTGCACACTACACATTATATCAAAAGAAGTTTTAAAACAATCATTATGTTCAAATAAAGTACAATAAAATGAAATTCAAATTTTCGAATAAATGTTATCTATGTATTAAGCAAAATCAAGGAATGATTTAACACCAACAATATACTCTTTGCTACACCACGCTAAATACTTCCAATCTTTGGATGGGACATTTCAATTCCTATAAGAATCATTAAATCATTAACTACTTCACAAATATGCAAAAGTAATCATCTATAGAAAAATGTATAGTTACATTATAAATTTACAAATACGTATCTAAATTAGAAATCAAATTAAGTAAAATACACAATCCCTTTAAAGTTCACATATGGAACTTCTTTGTCGCCTTTTTTGAAAAGTTCATAGGCACATTGCTCAAGAAAATTACTTTATGAGCTCGTGGAATGTGAAGCATTATAATAAGGCTCAAAAGATCATGGTTCATTCCCTTCCTATTTTATTAGTTAGAATTTATGGATTAAATAAAGCGCGGCTAAATATGGAGGGCAATAGTGCAATATAGTAAGGGTGAAGTTAATAAGTTTCAAAGATATTAAATACATTCTCACCACATTCTTTTCATATTTTAAATGGCCAAATATCTTCATAGAACTGATATTACTCATGGACAAATACAGTCAGTAAGTAAAACTACAACAGTCAAATGAAGCCACATAGTGTAAATTATTCATCAATACTTAGCAGTAAAGATGTAAAATTACAGCAGTCATTGGAAATGCAACATCTAGTACAAAAGCTCCAGCAACTCATTTGTAGGTTTGAATTCTTTTGGTGCAAACATATTAATAGGGAAGCAAACTAAGGAGCTAACTAACTATCCAAATAAAGCCACATATTGGGCATTATTGATCAATACTACACAGAAAAACAATACCCTCTACTGCTAAGGGTAGCTATTTTTTAGAAAAAAACATTAATGAAAAATATCAAGATGAAGAAGCTCAAGAAAATGATAAACACACCTTGAGAATCCGCCTTGAGACCTCAAACAATAAGAATCTGAATCATATGTTATGGGATGATCAGAATTATTGTGGGTTTTGAGTTTCGAGTACCTTGTTACCATTCTAGAATCTAATAAATACATAATAATAACTACAAAATTGTGTGACATTGAATGTCATTATTTCAAGGATGAAATATAGTAATTTTAATTTTAAGAGGTTCAAGATACCTTGATTTTGGTGTCTGCATAATGTTAGATTCCGCTCAGCAAAACCAGAAATAGCAGAGAAGATTTCATGGTTTAGAAAAAAAATGATCGAAGTGTTCGTATGAAAAAGTATAAAACTACACATTTAGTATATTTATACAGGCAACAAGACGTTTTATTTCTTTTAGAGGAAAAATAGAAAACTGTAGCATGCTATTTCGGAAGGCTAATGAACAATGAGAAATCTCTTCTTACATTGCAACTTTACTAGGCAGCTACAATGTAAAAAAAAAACCAGTAGTACCTAAGTACTATTTGAAATAAAAATGTTACTAGTTTCAAAATAATTTTATAGAAAGCATGTCTTCTATTGTATATTCTACTAGATTGCACATTCCGTGAAGCATTTTTATTAATCAAGATCACATATGGTATGTTTGGAACATAAAAAACAGAAATATAATAAAGCCTAATAATGAAGTTTCTTTCTGAATAAAAGGACAGTATGCTTGGAACATAAAAAAATAGAAATATATGAAGGAATATAAACTTTTTCAGTTCGTTAGTCATCATTATATCTCCAAACTCAAGTTGGAAAAGGGGGAAGATGAAACACATTGATCAAACAACTCCAAATTTACAAAAACATAGAACATGAATTATCATTGTCAACTCCCAAGGCTGAAACAACTTCCTACACTATTATCCAATCATTTTCTGCTTGATTAAGAAAAAATCAGTCTCAAAATGATATCCCTATTGACTCTGCCACTGCAATTATCACTACCAAGCAAGCACATAAATCAACAACCAAATATGGAGAAGGAAAATGAGCTGTGAGATGAGCAATGGAAAGTTTACAAGGAATACTACAAGCAGAACCGACACACTTTTGGAAGAATCCAGGTAAGACACTTAACTCTACTATTTCTAATCATAATTACTATAATGATTTATTTTGCAGGATCAAACTAATAACCAAAAAAAAACGAAAAATACCTTCACAATTTGATACATCAATAAAGGAAATACATCAACAAACAAAATAAAGGATGATTGGAATAAAGAACAACTAGACAAAGTCGAGGAAAATACAGTCGAGAGGTTCCAGAAGAGTGAAAGAGATAGAAAATCCTTAAGTAACAAATAAAATACCTCAACCCTCACCAACCAAATATACAATACAATAGTAGGAAAAGACCAAAAAAAGAAAAAGAGAAAAAAATACAATCATAAGATGATTCTGCCAATTCTGTGAAAATAAGTCGATGTTTAGTATCAAAAGGAAGTTAGCATATGAGATTTTAAGCAAACAATATAGACGATTCAAACTGACTTTCATTTTATTGGCGAATTGATATGCGAAAGAAGCAAACAATACAGACGATTTAAAATATAAAACAAGGACCAAAACTACGAAAACTTGTAATAAATAAATGAAAACAAGAGGAAATTTAATCACCTAAATGGGTTATCATTATTTGGGAATTACCAACAGAAGGAAAATGACTTCTCACTTTACACGAGGTATCAAAATTAGTGATTCACAAAATTACGAGGGCAAATAAATGAAGATTCAAATTCAAAAATATCATGCTTAAGCACTGTCCAAACAAGGATAAAAATCTCACAAAACTAAACATGAACTTTAAACTGAAATTATCTCAATATTTGCATTAGCCACAGATACTTTGAGAACCACAAAATAAAAGATAGAGAATGACATATTTAAGTCAATTAAAAACATACTTGAAGAGAAGAACATTTGAGCTAAATAGGAAGCCAACCCATACTAGTAAGAGGGTCGCTTTTGTGCTTAAGGTCAAAATGACTGAATTAACTAGGCTGAACAAAAAAGTTCAATATTACAAAATGATTCTAACAACTTCGTACTATGAGGTGATCCCAAAATATTTCAGAATATTGAACTAAAGTTAATAATCTATATTTGAAAATGCATTAGAGAAATAACAAAATGTCTTCTTCACTCTTCAAGACATATACTCGAAAAGAAGAAAATTGTTGCATCTAACAGAGACAAGGAAAAATCATTATGATTAACAAATGAACAAACCAAGATTAAGGAGAGCACGGCAAAAAAAGCAGTGACCACAGATTAGAACAAAAATTATAGAAAGAAAGATCTTAAACATGGACAAGAAATAGTACCAGCAATCAAAATAAGAACAAGCAAAATCTTAAGCATCTGAAAAAATTAACATGAAAAGCAAAGGAAAATCTAAATGTTTTTGCTCAAATAAATTCCAATTTTTTTTCATTCCCTAACAGCAAGAAAGATGTTTATATAGGGAGGTTAATATATGAGCTACGCTCCAAAAATCAACTGATGAAACTAATATACAAGTCACACTCCCAAAAATTGCAACAAAACACAAGAATATAAAAACCCTAAAGTTAAAATTTAGACTTTAAAAATGAAATTTCTTACCTGATAAACCTTAATCCAACAAAATCTCTTTGAAATCGTGTTCTTCGGTGAGACACATGAAAGAAAAGTGTGACGGAGATAAAAATTAACATAAATTCATCATCATGAACAACCAAACAATATTCATTTCTTCTATACACAAAACAAAAAATCAAACACTTCAGCTAACAAGAAGACTATTTTAGAAATACCATTTCAGCTAAAAATCAAACAGTTCAGGTAAGAATCATGTAAGTTTCATAAAAGAGAATCGTTCTTACTCTTCAAGGAATCGTTCAACTCTTCTGCTCAGTTCTTCGACTCTTCAGCTTGTATCGGAAAAGAGAACAAGTTCTTCAGTTATCTTCACCTCTCTTCACCTTGAACCTTTAGTTCTTCAGCTTCTATCGAAATGATGGAACCGACCAGTTCTTCAACTGAAAAGAGAAACGTGAAAAGGAAAGCTGAAAGAGGAAAGTGAAGTAAAAATTTTTGGTCAATGTTTCATTTTTTTTCCAATAAAAATGGGAGGAAGAGTTAAAAATATTGGAGGAAATATAACATTTTAGTGAAAAAATTTTAAGGCAACACTTATGAAATGTTATTTTTTCAATTATAAAAATAGGACATTTTAGAAGTGTGGCCATATATGTAAATAGGTGTTGCCAATTTTATCATATTTTAACAACACTTATAAAGTGTACCTTATAACATTAAAGAGAACACTTTTGAAGTGTTGCCAAAATTATTGTAGCGAAAAGTTCAAAATTTTTGCTACACTTTAAAAGAGTTTCTTGAACTATTTTAGGCAACAATTTACTAGTGTAGTCCATAATAAGTGTGGCAATAGGCCTAAAATTGTGTAGTGGGGGGAGTATTGACACACCCCAAAAATCGTATGACCTATGCTAGAGCCATACATGAGGTATAATAACTTCCACGGTTAAAATGATGTTTCTATACCTAATCTAATGCAATTAATTTAGTTTGGTTATTTTAGAAGTGAAGTTTCAAGAAGCGACCAAGATGTTTGAAAAGTAGTCCTTTATATTCTAGAATGTTTGCCTTATTTTGAAGTTTCATTTGGAGTATAAAATGATGGGAGGTTACCCTATCAACTAAATGATACTTTTAGGGTCAAAACCTTCCGGAAGACTCCCCAATGACCACCCTAAGGGTCCTTGAGGAGGACCCAAACATTTGTCGAAAAGCTATAAAAAAATAGCACCATTGACGTATCAATCGACGGAAAATCAATCGATTGACAAACCGTCGATGGCCTCCATTATTTGACACTTAGAATTTTGAATTTATATCCATTTAACCTCCTTAGTCACCATTTACGGATCGCAGGATTGACCATCAATTGATTGATGATCCATCAATGGTGACAGTCAATGGTCACCTACAAGATGTCCAAAATCTCGGCATAAAACAATTAAGTAGCCATTTATCCTTCATGCTTCAAAACTACACTCTTCCGTCCCTAATGTTTTCTTAAGATCACCATTGAAGAAGAAGAGACTTAGGAGGCAGCATCAATGTCTAGTTTTAGTTAGGTTTCAATCTTACTTTAAATAATTTATAAAATATATGTGAATATAAATCATCCATAGAATCTTCCATCCATCCATCCCCTATAGTGTCCCTTATTTTGAATCCAAAATACCCCAAACTAGTGGATAACATTCAATTATGTTTGAATTATATTTATATGATTATTATATGATGTTTTCATGTGAATTCCTTGATGAAGCCTAATATAAGTTGATGAAGGTGATCATTCTAGGTTATGGCCATTAGAGGCAAGGTTGAAGGATATAGAATGATCTTATTAAATTCAATTAAATTGAATACTAATTGGTCATATTTAGGATCATATATATATGAATTGAGCTAGGTAAAATTGAAAAAGAATGATCTTGACTTGTAAAGTTGTATGTCACACCCGGGACCTAGACCCTAGATGAGACAGGGGTTGTTAACCTCTCAAAAATCGCAGATAAGCCTCGTCATAGCTATCATTACAATCATACAGTTAAATTTAGCGGAAAATTTAAAACATTACTTAAGTATATTTATAATTCATATAATTCTTGCATATGAGTGATATACTAATGGCTAAAAATAAAACACCATCTACGAATTGAAAAATTGAAATGAAGAATTCATAATATCATTAATAGTTGCCAAACCGGCCTTAATACAAAATCTTGAACAAATGCTTGAAAGGAAATTCTAGGGACTACATACACTATCTATGTATAATCTATTAAAGCTAGAAAATAAAGTGTAGGCATCCTCGAACTCTACCGGACCTATCAATGTTGGGAGGTACTAGTCCAAATAGCTTCAACTGATCTTCAATTTTCTTCAAGGACCAGTACCTATAGAAATAGTAATTGTATATGGGTTAGTACACACTTGTACTAAGTATAGGTGTATGCACATAAACACATAAGGACTATGCATATTAAAGGAAAGTTCTTCCTATAGCAACATGCCATGAATCATGCTATGAATATGACATATTTTCGCGCATTTAAAGAACATAGCTCATTTTCTATATGAACATGAGACCTTGGAATCATGAACATAATTTTTGAACAACTCACGAAAAATTTAATATTTTTGCTCCCCATAGGCTGAGAGCTCCCTCTCCCAGACTCAATATATTTTTCAGTATTTTCTTATTTTTGTTGTTTAGTTCAATGATATCCTTTAATCCTATGTTTTACTTACTAGTGAAATTAGTCATTATAGTGTCATTCCTACAATGAACCAAGTAAGTAATCCAAAAGACGAAGGAAATGATTTGACTACCCTACTCACATCTTGTTCTTTCAATTCTTGTTAAATTGGGCATAAAGTCTTTATAAGCCAATCATTATTGGCTAACCCCATTCTTTGATCATTTGCATAATATAAAGATGTTAAGGCATACATTCATACTCCAATTGATTACTCATTATGTTTTTCTCCCTTTATTTACAAAAACCAATGACTATTAAAACTTCATTCTTATCAAACACTGATGATTTGATATTCTTATGCTTTTGCGTACTTAGTTAACTTTGAACTTACATTTCTTCTTCTTTTATCTCATTTTCACTTTGAGCATGCTATATTGACTTATGATATTCTTTTAAGACTTCCAATGGGACCTTTCTATGCAATTACTAAGAATGACTTACATCATTACTTAGTCTAACCTCACCCTTTGGTCATCCTATCCTAACACCCATTATCTTTCTAGTCGTTTCTTTCTTTCCTATTTTCTTAAAGAAATCTATAGCATTTAACTGACATAGATCATGTGAGCTAATATATAATCCAGTGTCTTCCCCACACTAAAAAGTGGTGGTTCACCGGCTAACGTGAAACCAAGTACTTCCTGTCTTTCTTAGGTGGATCTGCTAGATAGTAACCTATGATGGCGACATAGTTCAAAGACTAGGAGAATTTTGAGACCCTTATCCACTTTGGTGGTAGTATCATCTAATGAGGCTTACATGTTCTTGCACAAACTTATTACTAGTCTATCGGTGCATAGCTCTATTTATATACTTTACAACTTTTAGAGTTGACTCATACTTATCTCAATGAATGAATTGTCATACCTTTCTATACTTAATCAATGTGAACTTAAATGTTACATTATCATCATGATGTGAGTGAGACTTGTCTCACTATTTTTCTAACACCCTCTTATGTGAGTATCTTTAAGATAATTGTTTAGGTGTACCCCATTCTAGGTCAATTTCATAAATGATAAGCTTTTAGTGATTTCATTACTCACCTTATCTTGTTCAGTGTTATTTGGTAGTCCTGTACCATTCTTTATTAAAGTTATAAGGACTTATTCAATGTGCTACTATGTTCACAACTTCATTCAGGTAAGGTATGTAAGGACTTGTCCCAATCATTGGCATACCCTACGTTATGAGTTCATTGAGTTACATCTAGTCAAGTCAATATTTAGCATATATTTGGCCTTACAAGAAACATCATAATTTACATTGGCCATATAAGATTGGTATGACTTAATCATTGGCTAATTCTATTACATAATTTGGAAATAATATTGTTGGCCAATTTATTGGAATAAACCAAACTACGACTATACATTTGTCATGATATTATAACTAGCCAATTCAATTAACTTAATGTATATACTATAGTAATCTCATAATTTTAAGCAAGACAACTTTTAAATTTTGATTTTCTTATAAGAACAATTCAGTGCTTAGTTTCGCGAAGCTATAAAGTTGATTTGGCATTGAGGATTCATTAACTATCTTTGGTTCTCATTCTTATTTCATCTTGGAAACATTCCATTCCAAATACATACAAACATATCTACTGTGACCATTCACAGTAATCAAAACCTTAAATCCTTTCAACAGTAAACCGAATTTCATAAACAACATATAACAATTTAATATTTTTAAACACAATTAGGGATTATAACATTTTTATCGCATGTAAATGATTCTCTAATCATACGGATCTAACCTATAGGTCTCATTCAACATTATCATATCACAGAAACCTACACATAAGGATGAGTTATCACCACATACCAACAACATTCTCGAGATATTCATTATAAATACTACTAGAATCTGAAATAGGGAGAACTAGGGAGATGAACATTTGCATATTTCATTGGGAATAACCCTAGTTTTTGTTTTCTTAATCTCAAAATGTTTCAAAAGCCTCCAGTGGAAAGATATCAAAGAGAGAAACCAATGCGTTACTGTAGAATTCAATCTACAAAGATCACCCTGTTATTAGCACAAAAATCTTGAAGAAATCCCTTCAAATCGCCTAAGGAGAAAACGAGAGTATTTTTTTCTATTTATTTTCTTACGTTTGTTCACTGTTTTTTAGTCGTGAGTTTTCACTGGATAAACGTGAGTCTAAGTCTTAGGAACAGAATATTGACTAATTCAACTTAGACTTATTTACTTAATTAAATCAATCAATTAAAAAATTACCGAAATGTCCCTCCTAAATTGATTATAATTAGAAGAGCATTTGACATAGTGAAAATCTGAAAACTTTCTAAAGGTCTCAGGTTTGACCATGAATTTAAATTAATTAATTAAGTTTGTAATTTAGTTAATTAAGTGACCTAGGTTAACTTCTAAAGTACCCCCTGAGTAACTAGGATCATAACCAACCCCTTTGGACCATCCTAGGTTAGGTACTAGGATGTTTCTTTAGTTAGCTACTCGGATAGTGTAACAAGGTTAAGTCTTAGGATTTCGGGCACAGTAGTTAGCTCATTTTAGTAATTCCTAGGTTAATTAGCTAGTTAGGTAAGTTAGTTAGAGCCTAGGATTGGTTAGGAAGCTCGGCCCTACGTGGCTTGCCCCAACGCATGGCGGCCCCCTAACTGCCCTAACCAAATCAGTTGGGCTTGATCGCTTGGTCTCTTATC